TGCATTAACTAGAGGAAATGTCGATTTGTCCAGTAACCAGAATATCAGTTTGGGGGCCATGAATTAAAGAGCAAGGAAAACCTTGTGTTCACCTAGGAAATATTTGGAAATTTGGCTGTGTCATCTCAGATAGGAGAAATCCGGCCTACCAGAATCTGCCATGAGTCTGGAGTTACTTGGTCATTCTCTAAATGGCCTTGGATGGCACGAAGAATAAACAGGAGAAGGAGAAAGATTTACGATTTTGTAGATATTCCTCCCTCCAACAACAGTTTGTTCTTTGTCCTCGGGGATAGAAGAGCTCTGTTTTTCCTTGGTGAAGAACCACACAACGGGAGTGACATGCACACAACTGCAGAACAATACAGCTCTCAAAAGAAAATCCATCTTTTCATCTCTACTAACCAAGGGAAGCGCTCGATTACTGTCCACATTAATAACCTAGCTGAGGCTTTTGAAGAAAACATACGTTCAAGAAGCAGGAAGAGTAAGAGGAGTAGGAAGCATAAGAGAACGAGCATAATTGCAAGTTGGGAAGCTGTTATTTATGAAATCTCGATTCCTTATTTGATAGCGGAACCGTGATTCATGGAAATGAAGAAGTTCTGCCTTGGGATTCCTAAGCAAGTTTTAAGGATTTTACCTCTCAGCCTTTTCGAAAGGACAACTAACCTGAATACAATTAGCTTGGGTACTTGAAGTACCTACATGAAACATGAATCAGTCAATGATTAAGTTTTCTCTGCCATGTATGCACAAACCTAATGGAGATATGTCTTTCAACAGTGATAATTAAACTGAAAACATCCTTAAAATGTACTCTTTAATGGCTCATTTGGTAAAGCTATACAGTTACTTAGAAAAGGAAAATAACGGGGACATACCATATTACACAAGGCTCTTAATGAACTATCTCGTGGCTTACAAAACTGTTTGTAACTGACCACACTTAAAAATCAATTTGTTGAATACAGAAGCATGGCAGACTGCAGTCAGGGTGCACTTAGTCAAATTAAAGTTCAGCATAAGTAGTTTTGGTAACATTTTTACATTTGTCATTATACTAGAGATCAAGAAATAAGCACTGTGAAGGTCCAAAATGAGTGTATTAATTAATACAGTCCCCCACCCCAACTTGTAACCCCAAGAAGTCCACTGAACACAAAGCTCTTCAACTCTGCTGTTGGTAGATGGACTAAATTGCAGAAGCAGTGACATTCCTGGACAGGGCTGGCCACATCTGCTGTCAGCTGACGGGGGTACAGTCCGAGTCAGGCTTGAATGTTCCAAAACTGTCCACAATTGAACCAAGTACAGGAATTTTATCACACAGCAGAACTTCAGGTGATGAAGCTCATCCAGATTCCAAAGCATTCTCCCTTAATTCATGGTTATCTCAGATAGTTGTCACCATGGCAAGTGACCTAATTTGCTAACCCAATTCATGTTCTAGTTAAAATCATATCAATAATTCCTCAAAGGCAGGCATTTTAATCTAAAACACAAATTAAGGGAACCCATTGTTTGGAAACAAACAATTAATAACATGATTAAGTCAAAATGATGAAAAGATGTACTTGGACCTAAAGGACTCCAGGTGTTTGAAGAAGGATATCAGAACTTT